TCTGTCCCCGGCAGCAGTCCCTATCATGACATATTCGGTAATCCGACCATGTGTCGGTCCCGTTTATGTTGGTTGATAGGGACTCTACTGTATCATGTTTAACATATGAATGAATACTGCAACTTTGTAATATTGTAGGTTAATGAATTACTCATCAACTGCAAAGACAACTGAAATCCTATTTATGGGATAAATAAAATTGGAGTTTAATGTTTTCACGGCGAATATCTACTTACATCATAAAGCCAGATATTTTTATTCAATGTGTAATAACACCCATAAAGCAGCTTTCTTTCTACAAGTTATCACTATCATTTAGTTTAGCTTCCAAAATACTTTTTTTCTTTTTTTTTTGTTATGAATGGCTTTCTTAAATTTCCCTGGGCTGAAACTCTCTATGGGCTGCTATGTCTCAGGCCAATTAGACTCTTGAGGGAAGGCTGCTCTCTTCCTGTGCATTGCAGTGATGAAGTTCATTTTCTATGGTTCAACCTATTTTCCACCAGTAGTAGACTGAACCATCAACACCTCTGCTTTCTCCCCTTCCCTCCCCCCCCAAAAAAATAATTCTCACCTAAATAGTCTTACCATTCATAATAAAGGGAAGTATCACTGTGCAGGGGAAGAGGGGCTAAAGGAGAATTCTCACGGGTTTTGGGAGGTGAGATTTAGATTACTGTCAGGGAGGGGAGAAATGGAATTTTTTGTAACTTGGGCCCAGAAAGTGGTCATTGCAGTGGTAGCCAGAGGTCAGCTGTAGTTGCATGTCACCAAAATTAGAACCTATGGATATTACTGACTTGGTACAGCCACTTTTCCAAGGATCTTTACATCTGTTTCCCTTTCTGAATACAGTAAAGTGAAAGTGACTGAATGATCTATGATAAATGTATTTTGAGTGTCTTATTTAATATTATACGTTAAATGTTAAGTTACATACACCATTAACTTACAAGGCTACTCTAACTTCGTAGCAGATAACATTTAGTGAATTGCAAATAATTCTATTGAAGGGTTTTTGCAAGAAAACAAACTTCACAAGCTAAGCTCAAATTTGTGTTCAAAATCACTACTTTGTATTTGTACAAAATGATGCAACATGCTCATTTTTCTTCAGAAGTTAGATAAAATATGCCACTACTATGCCAAATGAGGTGATGCAGCTTTTTTCCTTGTAACCATTTTTTTTTAAAGATATATCTATCTATCTATATATTTGCCAGCAGTTAAGAAATAGAACAATAGCCATTGCAACCACATGATTTATAAGCTTCCTCAAATAAACCTGTAACTGTTTAAGCTTTAACCTGACTCCTTCAGTTGCTGTAACAGAACCAAGCACAATTTAAAAGAACTTCAGCCGGTCATAAAGGGACAGATATAGGGAGAGCTTGGGCGTTTGGATTTGTGTCACACCCAGGTGGCAAAATTCATTGGGGCGCTTCTCAGCCTCCCCGAGGCTGCCCGCTGCGAAGGAATTGTGAATTCTAGCAGCTGAAATCTGAAGTGTAATAAGCTCTCCCTGTACACTCATTGGGGCGCCCTTCAACCTCTTCCAGGTTGCCCACTGCAAGGGACCCCAGTCTCAGCAGTTAAAGTCTCGGGTGTATGGTACACACACACACACACACCACTCACTGCCCTGACCGTCGGCTGACAGGGAGGAGAATGGAAGAAGGTCCAGGACTGGTATAAACAGAGCAACCATTTTAATGCATGTGTCGTAAGTTGTTAGGACAACCCTTTGAGGTGAGAATGGGCCTCATTTCAGACATTCTTTACTGGCTGTAGACACTGTTGTAAGTCTTAATGAAAAGCTCTCCTTTCCTTTGCTTCTGGGTATAACAGCAGTCCGAAACAAAAGAGGTAAACAAAATAATCTTGCAAATCACAAGACAGTCTGGGCTCACCCAACTGTTCTTCAAAAGGCAAAAAGTTACTGTAAAGGGGGCTGGGTTCTTAACCCCTGAGTGCCCTAAGCTTAATAAATAAATAAGTAAAATGGACCCTTCATCCCTACAGAGGCTCCAGGCAATAGAAACATGTTAGCTACTCTTTTCTGTGACAGGCCTACACACAAGGAATCAACTGTAAAATGAACTCCTTTGAAAAATATGGAGTGAAAAGAACTGGCTCCTGACTCAACTGTTTTTTCAGGGAATTAAAAGACTTCTAACGGTCATCATTCTGGTGGACTTTCTTTTGGATTACAACCTTTTATTAGGTCCAGAGGGGCTCCGATGGTGGTAAAAGCCAGGAACAAATCATGCAGCTCATTCAAGAAATCTCTTAGAGAATGGGACTCTATGATAATAGCAGCTCAAGATGGGGGATATAAAATCCTGTTAAATTGGTTAACTGGTTAAACATTATGTTTAATCCATTAATTGATTAAAGCAGGAGTGGCGGGGGGCATGGGTGGGCTGGAGTGTCCTCCCACCACAGAAAAAGGCTGCCATGGGCAGCTGGTTGGATTAGCCCCTGCCTGTGGTAGGGGGCTGGACTGGTCCCACTACAGACAGGGGCTGGTCCAATGGGTAAGGAGCTGCTCCAGCACCTACTGGTTAACTGGAATCCATTAAGGATGAGGCTTACCCACTAACCATTCACACCCCTAGCTCAAGTTGGCTTTGTCTCTCATTCTAGCCCAGATCAATATCTTCTTAATTGGCCATCTAGCATTTGGCCAAATTGGCCATGACCCCTCCATTATCTGCCAGGAACTGAAAAACAGCTTGTATTTGCTGCACATGATCATCTCAGTTGTTGCTATTAGGGATGTTAGATAGCATGTAATTGAATAGTCATGCAACTCTATCAAATTTTAATGGTTACACGATCATTCGATAGTTCTTGCGGTTAAGCCGGCAGCCAGTGCTTTCCTAGCCCCACTCCCAGGAAACCCCCTGCCACCTCAAGCTGCTCCCTCTATCAGAGGGAAGTGAGATGTGGGAGAATAAAACTGAGCTCTGGAGAAATGTTTGGCTAGAGTTTCCCCTACAATATGTACCAGTTCCGACTTACATGCAAATTCAACTTAAGAACAAACCTACAGTCCCTATCTTGTACGTAACCCGGGGACTGCCTGTACTTGCAAAGACAAAGCAATGGAATCTGTGAGGCCTGAATCTCAGATTCTGTTACAGGTCTGCCTCAAAGCTGACAAAATGAGAGCCTTTCCATTGACTTCAGTTGACTTTGGAACACACCTTTAATCAACTCTTGGAGTCGTGAAGAAATACAAATTTAGCATTAATCTCTTCCTTTTGCACAGAAGATAAAGAAGTTAGAATGCTCAGGGACTGGGCAAGAAACCTCTCTGTGTGACTGGCTAGTGGCTACAAACGCAGGGCAGCAAGTGGAAAAGAGATCACAGAATCTACAGTATCTCTCTCTCTAAGATCATAAGGGAGGCATTCTGATGTAACAGCAATGAGTAATACAAAAGCTTAGACTAGATACAAATCCAAAAATAAATGTCACATTTCTAACACCATGAATGTTGCCACTAGAATTAATGTTATTTTGACAACTCTAAGTTTAATATTAGAATAAAAAATTGATTTAAGTATATTTTATGCCAACCCATCACATTTCCACTTGTAACATCTAATATAGTTTTGAGAACCATTTAAACATTCCACCTTGGTGATCATATATTGTGCAAGTTCTCTTTGCTAGATTTTCAAAGCTTGTGGGGGGGATGGGCTGCCCCATTCCACTCTAAAATATCAATTACTAATGGATGTATTCTAGGGATGTTAATGTGTACCTGTGTACACAGTTAAGTGTAACCTTGGGCTCCTCAGCTAGCCAATGCGGTTACACACACTCCTCCCCACTACCTTTGTATCAGAGGCAGCAGGGATGGGGGGAGGGGAGGAGAACGGGAGCTGGTGCATGTGGGGGCACTCCTGCACAGGGGGAAAATAAATTTACATGATCAAAGGTAAGTAATGGCATGAAAGACAGTGGTCTTAAAAATTAGATACAAAAGACAGTATCATGCATAAAGTGATGGTAGCTGGTTTACTTCCCCTTACTAAAAGTTGGAGAAAATAGTTTTAATACACTTCTATATTTGCATGTTTCTCGGCCTAATACTAATTGTTATGGTTCTCATATAAACTTATAGGTGCTTTTCTTACTGCTGTTAAATTCCATACATCAAGCAGGAAAATTCTACATATTTGGAAGAATCTTTATAAACTGCACCTAGTCAAAACCGAAAAGCAGGTGTGTTTTATATTTTCTTGTTTTCTGAATGCCTGGTGCAAGGTAGCATCAAGGAAAATGGCTACTGATCTATCACTGACCATTCAGATTCCTCTGAAAAGAGATTGCTGCCTATTTATTCACTAATAACTTAGTATGAAAAAGTCATACATTCTTCTCTAAACTGACATTCAGAATTACAATTAAATGGATTGACTTCCCCCTTATTGGAACAAAGAGTAAGAGCAGCGATCACACTGGAATTATGACTAGAAATAAATAATTTGTACCAACAAGTGCAGAAAAGGAGATTCTGGACACAATTTTCAAAAATAGGTGCCTTAAGTTAAGCTCCCTGATGTGGGTTTAGGTACCTAAGTAAGTGGCCTGGTGTTCAAGAATGCTAAGCACCAAGTAACTCCTATTGAATTGAGTTGTAATCCAGCTGCAAATGTGGCAATGAAAATATACATAGACTAACTCCGCTACCCCTCTGAAGCTTGTAAACCCTAGTGTTAGGTGCCTTAGCACAGCAATATGTAAACAAAAAGATGTCTTAAGACATGGCCATTTAGCGTACTGTGACCCCTACCTTAGCGGAGAAATAAACGGAATACACAGCAGTAAAATCACTCCTATTTCAGTATATAGAAAGGTTGCAACTGCTGTCCACTGAAAAGTCATCTTCTCCCTGGACGGCCTGCAGGGGAGGACAGAGCAGGCTTTGAGACAGGCAGGATAAATCCCGCAACGAGCAGAGCTCGTGCTGAGCCAAGCTTTTCCATTTTAAGTTACACCGGATATTTAAGGCCAAAATGCTTCCTCTCCCTCGGGAGGTCTCAAGTTGGGCGCCTGGGGATTTTAAGTAACTTGGTTGGGAGCCTACCGACCCCTCCCCAGAGATCGGCCTCCAGGCTGCACCAACAGCCTCCCCTCCTCTCTGAAGCAGGGCGAGGTCCTCCCGCGGCCTCCCAGCGCGCCGCGCCGAATAACGCCTTGGCCGGGCCCTGCTGGCGTCTCCCTCCCCCCGAGCGGACAGACTCGCTCCGTACCCCGGATAACGCCCCTGCCCACGGATACCCTCAGTCCCCGCCCCTGCCCGGAGCCCGCCGCCAACCGGCCTGGGCACACTGCAGGGCGCGGCTCAGCCACGGGAAGCGGGGCCTGCCCCGCCTGCTGGGACGCGGGTCCGGAGCCAGGCGGTGTCCGCCTCTCGCTGACTCACACAGAGCAAAATCCTCCCTCCCACCTCGGGGCGGCGCGGGAAGCCGCCCGCCTAGCGACGCCCTGATCCCCGCGCCCGCTGACTGACGCTGGAGGCGCCCAGGCTCGCTTACAGCCTCCCAGCCCAATAGGAGGCTGGGGCGGGACCGAGAGCAACCTCCCCCTCCCCAGGCTTGAGGCAGTGCAGGAGGCGTGCCCGGGGAGGCGCCTTCTTCCCCCCCATCGGCGAGTTTCGGGAGGGGCCAGAAACGCAACGAGGTTCGCATCCCCCCCAGCCAACGTTCATCCCGGCTCCCCGCCGTCATTGGCCTTCTTCTGTATCTTCCGAAAGCCCCCGCAGCGCTGCCCTGCTGCTGTTTTTGGCTTGTTTCTCTCAGACGCCCCGTTGTCTCTGGACCCTCACAGCAATAGCTGGGTCTGGCAAAAAAGGCCGCGGCTGCTTGCGACTGCACGTCCAAGTGGATCCCTGCCCACCTTTACCTCTTCCAACACTGGCTCCTCCTGAACCCCACCCATAGGAACGCCAGGGTATGGAATGGGGCAGAACGATAATACCAAGCACGTTCACAGCACTGTAGACATTATAGGCGCAACTAGGGACACTGCCTATTATGGTTATCTGACCTTTCCCCTTTCGGGGGTAGCCGAGTTAGTCTATAAGGGTAAACTTAAAAAACAACAAATTGTCTGGTAGCACTTTATAGACTAACAACACATGTAGATGGTATCATGAGCTTTCCAGGGCACAGCCCACTTCAGACGACCGTGACCCCTATTTACAGTTGCTGATAACTTGTGCCAATCTTTAACTGGTTGGACTGAACTCTCTCATGCTGGGTGACTGTCTCTTTTTAATTGTCATCCAAAACCATTCAGCCATTTCCAGAAACAGACTAGGTAATATAAATCATTTTGCTCTGGTTACATTATTGAGACTTTTTATTTCAAGTGCTTTGATGCCTGAATACTTTGGAGCAGGGACTTAAAATTTGGTGGCGAGGGCATTGGGTTATGTTTGTATCAGGAGCAGACAGCCTTTGGCAGGAGTCCTGTGGAGCATACGCCCATGGGATCATGTAGCTAATGACTATCTGAGTACATATGCACAAGAGGGCTTAATTAAGGTTGTACAGATAACTTTAATTCTGGCATTTCCTAACTGTTGAGCTGTATGATTTTCCAGCCTTAATAGTGTCCTTTTTAATGTAGTTGTATGTGTATAATTAAGTCTTATAAATATTGGTATTCTCATTTTACATAAGAAGAAACAGAGAAAAGTGCCTTAACGATGAGCCACAGACACAGCCAAAATTAGAACTAAGAATTTTTGCCTCCCACCTAGTTCTCTCCAAATAGCAGAGCAACAGTGTAAAGCAGTGGTCACCAACCTGTAGATCAGGATCTACTGGTGCCTCTGACAGGTGATCTTGACTGGTTTGGCCAAGAGGCTATCAAGTGCTAGCACTTCAGCTGCCCTTCCCTCCTGCTGCTGTGCAATTCCTGCCCTTTGCCTTGGAGCTTTCTCCTCAGGAGCCTCCTGCTTTCTGTGCAGGGCAGGGGAGGGAGAAGAGGGGCACTGATGTCAAGGTGCCTCCTCTCCCCTCCCTGTATCCTATCTCCACTGAGCAGAGAGGGGGCACAACAGGACTTAGGATGGAGTTTGCTGGCTGCTTTTGGGTGTGGTGCAGGGCCAGGGCTGGGGTGAGCTTGCCTTAGCTCCACTGCATCACCACCCAGGAGATACCTGAGGTAAACAGTGCCCTGCTGGAGCCAACATCCCGAAACCCCACCCCAGTCATGAACCCTTCTTACACCCCAAGTCCCTGCCCTAGCCCCGAGTACCCCTCCATCCAAACACCCTCCCAGAGCCTGGACCTAGAACCCCCTCCAGCACCCCAACTGCCTGCCCCAAGCTAAGATCAGAGCCCCTCTCACACTTCAAATCCTTTAATCCAAGACCAGAGCCTGCACCCCAACCCTCTGCCCCAGCCTGATGAAAGTGAGGGAGGATGAGGGATGAGGGAGGATGGAGTAAGCAGGGGCGGGGCCTTGGAGAAGGGGTACAAAGGAGGCGGGGCAAGGGTATTTGGGTGTGAGGTAGATTTTGGATTGCACTTAAATTAAAAAAGTGATCTCGTGCTTAAAAAGGTTGGAGACCACTGACATAAAGAGTATCAGAGGTTTTTACTCACTGCCTGGCAACACTGGTGAGCTTCCTACAGTGAGGCTAGCATCATGGTATCTGTCCCTGGCACGTGCTGGTTTTTAGATGATCTAGCTTAAAACAATTTTTATTTATTGTTATTCATGTAGTATAGCAGCACCGTGTTCATGGAAGGTATCTAGTTTTTTGACCAAAATGCCTGGCTGAAAAGAGCCCCTGGTGGCTCTGGTCAGTTTCACTGACTGGGCAACTAAAAATCCAGCTGTGGGACTAAGACAGGCTCCTTGCCTGTCCTGGCTCCATACAGTTTCTGGGAAGCGTCTCCTAAACTCAGGGGATACATCTACACTGGCGCGTTGTCACGCAAAAACTGTTTTGCAGAAGAGTTCTTCTGCAAAATCTCTTCCAGAAGAGAGCGTCTACACCGGCATGTGCTTTTGCGCAAGAGATGTGCTTTTGCGCAAGAGCATCCATGCCAGTGTAGACGCTCTCTTGCGCAAGAAAGCTCTGATGGTCATTTTAACGATAGGTCTTTCTTGCGCAAGAAATTCTTGTTGCCTGTCTACAGTGGCCTCTTCTGGAAGAGCTCTTGTGCAAAAGGGCTTCTTCCTGAGCGAGAGCGTCAGAGTTCTCACGCAGTAAGCCCTGATTTTATACATTAGAACGTCAGTTTACTTGTGCAAGAAAATGCGGCCAGTGTAGACAGGCAGCAAGTTTTTGCACAAGAGCAGCCGCTTTTGCACGAGATCGTGCCAGTGTAGACACAGCCAGGGTGACCAGGGAGGCTTTGCATGCTACCCTAGCCCTGAGTGCTGTCTCTGCAGCTCCCATTGGCAAGGAACCACACAGCCAAAGCGAGCTGCGCCTGCAGACAGAGGCAACACAAAGAGCCACCTGGCTGCCCCTGTGCTTAGGGGCTACAGGGACATGCTGTCTACTTCTGGGAGCCACTTGAGGTAGGCACCGCCCAGAGCCTGCTCTCCTCACCCTTTCCTGCACCTCAACCCTCTTGCCTCAGCCCTGAGTTCCACCTTATGCTCAAAACCCCTCAGTCCAGCCCAGACCTCCCTTCTGCACCCCAACTCCTCATCCTGGGCCCCACCCCATAGCCTGTAACCCCAGCTGAAGCCCACACATCCTTCTTCACTCCAACTCCCTGTCCCAGACCAGAGCCCCCTCTGGAACCCCCAAACCTTTATCCCTGAACCTACATCAGAACCTGCACTGCCAGAGCCTTCTCCCACACCCCAACAAAAGGGGGAGATGGAGTGAACAGGAGCTGGGGCCTTAGAAAAGGGGCAGGGCTGGACATCACAAGCATGTTCAGTTTTCTTCTGTGATCAGAAAGTTAGAAACCCTAAGTTAATGGCAAAACATCTAGGCTGTGTCTACACGGGGCCACTTATTCCGGAAAATCAGCCGCTTTTCCGGAATAAGCTGCAAACTGTCTACACTGGCCCTTGAATTTCTGGAAAAGCAAAGATGCTCTACTGTACAAAATCAGCCGCTATTCCGGAAAAACTATTCTGCTCCCGCTCGGGCATAAGTACTTATTCCGGAACACTGTTCCGGAAAAGGGCCAGTGTAGACAGCCCAGTAGTCTTTTCCGGAAAAGCGCATCTACATTGGCCACAGACGCTTTTCTGGAAAAAGGGCTTTTCTGGAAAAGCAGCCTGCCAATGTAGATGCTCCTTTTCCAGAAAAACTGAAAACAGAATAGTATTCCGTTTTAAGCATTTCCGGAAATTCATGCCAGTGTAGACACAGCCCTATTGACTGCAGTAGTGGAAAACTGAATCCAACCAAGAATGCTTAAATTACTATTGATATCAGCTAATACCCTGATTGTATATGCTACTTTCTGTAGGTATACCCTGAGCATCCATCAAACCCCATTAATTTAAATTAGGCTCTGTGTAGATGCAGATCTCTAGAACTCATAGCCCCCCTACAGAAGTGTTTACCATTTTAGGTTCATGGTCTAAATTAGTAACACACAATAGTAACACCCATTCATAACACTGTGTAAGTGAGTAAAGATTATTAAAACAATCCCAATATAGGGTAAGCATTGTGCATTTATCATGGGTGCTGCAACAGTTTTTATAGTGGGGGTGCTGAGAGCCATTGAACCAAACTGTAAACCTGATATAAGGAAACCACTTAAAGTCAGGGATTGTGGCAGCAACACCAGCATCCCTAGTTCCAGCACTTATGGTCTACCACAGATTAAATAAACAATCTCCCAATGTTAAAAGAACCCTAATTATGTTAACTAATCACAGCTAATAATCCTCCCTTTTTGACTCTCTGAACACAGCAGGACTCATCATGATGAGTACTACATAAAATAGCTACAGAACTTAGAAATTAGAGAAATAGCTACCGAACTTAGAAGTAGTAGGTGGTTGAGTATAAAATTTGATTACGGAAACTTCCAAGAGGGTATATATAGTAATGCTATAAAGAATCCTGCTCCCAGTGGTAAAATGATAGTTTTACTATTTATTTCAATAGAAAATAGGATCTGTCTGTGACACCCTGCTACCCTCATATTCATCACTGTCATATAACCTTTGCATGTAGAATAGTAATAGAGATGTAGACATGTTAGTCTAGTCTTGCTGAAACAAAAGACAGGACTATGCAGCACTTTAAAGACTAACAAGATGGTTTATTAGGTGATGAGCTTTCGTGGGCCAGACCCACTTTCTCAGATCACAATTTGATCTGAGGAAGTGGATCTGGCCCACAAAAGCTCATCACCTGATAAAGCTCATCACCTAATAAACCATCTTGTTAGTCTTTAAAGTGCTGCATAGTCCTGTCTTTTGTTTCATTTAACCCTTATGTTTTGTACAGAAGTATACCTTGAGAGTAAAAATGTGAATGGGTAACCTGTTAACCACTTACCCAGTAAGCATCACCCTTAAGGGCTGCTCCACCCTTGTGGGGCTGCAGACTCCCATCCCATGTGGGCTGGGAGTTGGCAGTCTCTTGAGAGGGGAGAAGAGGAAGCAGGGGGGAGAGGGCTTCCAACTTATGTGGGGAGGAAACAGCAGCTGAGGTGTTGGGGAGGAAGGCTGCTGGCTAGAGCCAACAGCTCTTCCCTTACCTGCTGCTTCCTCCCTGTGTGAGCCTGCATAGGCTGGGAGCCAGCATCTCCATGGTGCTAGAGCAGCCCCTTTCCCCACCCACCACCATTTAACCAGTTAACTGATTAAATAGGATTTTACATCCCTTCTTGAGAGCTATCAGTCTTTTAAACATTAGTATCTCATTGGATTGTGTGTGTTGTTGTATGTGAAACTATTAAGATTTGCTATGTATGTGTTACTGAAAGTTGTTGTGAAGTTGGATACACCCACAATGAGCCTTTCAGGAACAACAACAAAGAAGTTACACTGTGCTAATGGCCTATCAGGAAAGACAATGAACCAGGGAAAAGGTGATCCCTTTTAGAGAACTGGGGAATGTTTCAGCCAGCCATGGGCAATGGGAGCATGAAGTGTCATGTGCCCCGTAAATGCTGTGGGGGAGGAGAGGCAAGACAGCTGTCCAACTGCTGGGGCTTCTGTAGGGCCCACGGGATTAGTAGGACCTTGGCACTGGCAGTATGGGTTCATACCTCTCATGCTCCCTGGTGGCATTGGGAAGCAGAGTGACCAGGCTTCCTGCTGCATTGTTCCACTTCCCACTGTTGGTATAAGAGTGGTCCTGCTTCTTCCTCAAACTCTCTCCCACTGTGACATGGCTTGGGGGACAAATGGGGGACCTAGTGCTTGCAGTCAGGGTTGCCCACACATTCACCATTGGTAGCAGGAAGTGGAATGACCCAGGCCAAGGTACTCCAGTACCTTAGCTCCCAGCCATGTCACTTGATGGGAGGGGACTCAGGAGAAGAGGTGGGATTGACCCTTACACTCACCGGTGGCAGGAAGTGGAACAACATGGCTGGGAACTGGCAAAGCAGACTAGTGCAGGGTTCTCCACTTCCCACCATCACCACTGGTGTGTGGGGTGGGCCTGACCCCTGCTGTCATGTGCCCCACTAGTTACCTGGGACACATCAGTTAGGGGAAGGAGTGGAATGGGGGCAGGGTAAGGGTGGAGCTGTAGTGGGGATTGGAGCAGGGGTGGAGCCCTCCCACAGGCTAAGGGTGGTACTGGAAGGAGCCACATGGGGCAATCATGTGACTGATGCCCCTCCTGTGTCCCTCCCGGTAGTTGCCACTGCAGCTGGCCTATGAGTAATGGTTTCTATGACTCAGCAAGGTATGGAAGGGCACGTGACCAGACCACATGACACTGAACTACATTTTGGTTCCTATATTTTTCTACAAACTGGGAAAAACTATAAAAGGTGAGGCGTGACATAATATTTTGGCCTCACTCTCCAAACAAGAGAACACCTGGAAACAATTGAGGAACAAAGACTGAACTGGGTAAGTGCTGGTCCCTAGCTAAAGAGATATCTAGCCTGTGTATGGAAGTATGGTGATCCTCACGTTTGATCTGTCAGGGTGAGATATAGCCAATTCAAATCCTATTTTCTAATATATTAGGTTTAGTTTGCATTTTGTTGATTCTATTGGCTATCACTTAAATATTTCTTTCTGTAGTTAATAAACTTGTTTTATGTTTTATTTTGACCAGTGTGTTTCTGAGTGAAGTGTTTGGAAAAAATCTCAGCTCAGTTAAGGGTTGGTGTACATATTCCTCTCCACATTGAGTGAGGGGCAAACTGAGTAATAAATTCATAGTGATCAAGTTTTTGATCAGGGCATGATGGCACAGCTCTGGCATCTGAGGATGGGGAGAGCTAGGGGTATTTTGGCTGAAGACTCACTATGATTGGTTCATGCAGTAGCTGGCGGGAGCCTGCATGTAATTGTAGCTTGGTGAATGCTAGTGGGACTGTAAAACCGGGTCTGGAGCTTGTTATAACAGCACAATGTAAGAGGGAACCCAGGTTGCTGAGTCAGAGGACTGAGTGATATCGTAGGTCCAGGTTGCATAAAGTCACATCATCTAAGTGTCAAAACATGCAATTTTTTTTCAGTTACTCTCACTTCTGAGATTTTTTTCATTAGTTGTAAGTCTTTCACTACAGTCAGAAGGGATTCAATAGATATGGAAGACAGATCAGCTTTGGCTCAATAGGATACAGTAGATCTCACCAGCAGAATGCAGTTGTAAGTTTATTTTTAACATATGACAAATGTGTAGAGTGACCAAAACAAATAAAACCTCCAACACCATCATTCTGGAGTACATACAAGCACCCCTTAAACAGAGCAGCTCTCATTCTCTCAAGTGTTGCAGGACCTCAAAATGAACTGGACTTCAACAAGTGACTTCTTCGGGAAACAAGCCTTGGATTTAAATCATCCTCAGCTTTATGTCTTTTGCTGACAATAGTAGCATTCAACATTTATGACAAAAAAACCCCCTCAAAATTGTAAACTGTCTTTATTTCAATGAATACACCTAGATAATTCTGTTGCAATGTCCCAGCTGTGGCACATACACTATTAAAAGTAAACAATGACTTTGGTCTTTTCTGCTGCCATATTTAAAAATTTTCATGTAACAAACATTTATTCCAAAATAAAACTAAGGTTTGTGGGAAATCAGAACACCATCCTGGAACAGTTTATGGAGTATTTAATAAAAAAGTTAATCACGTCCAAGCATTTAAAAATATTACATATGATTTAGACAGTTACAAAATGTTTTTATGCTTAATTATACTGATACTTCTAGAGGTATGAGAGTCAAACTCCTAATTCATTATAATTTACCACTTACAGGCATGAATTTCTGTATAAATATACCATTTTTGTTTAAAATCTTTATTATATTAGACTCAGATCTGTAGGTGTATTACCTTGTTCTAATTTGCACTGCATTTTCCTTCTGAAAAACAATGCATAGTAACATTCATGCTTTGGTGAACAATCTGTAAAAGACAAGACTGTGAAAACCTGGTGGAGGTTAAAAATGTTCTAAAAAACTTTTTTTTTTTTTTTTTGTGAATCAGAAGAAAGACAGCTGCTTACCAGCACCCATTTTATCCTATTTCCTTCATGTCCTTATTATACACTGTAAAGGAATATGTTAGTAGTGTTTTTTGTAGTTTCATTGGTCCCAGAATATTGGAGAAACAAGGTGGATAAAGTAATATATTTATTGGCAAGAGAGATGAGCTTTTGAGTTTATACAGAGCTCTTCCTTAGGTCAGCTGTCCAACAAATGAAAGTATTATCAATATATCTCAGCTACATAATTGGTTTGGTGGTGCATTTATCCAGAAATTCTTGCTTGAGGTAAGAAAAGGTTTATATATTGAAGAGCCATCCTAGAACCCATGTCTATTCCCATGATTTGAATACATTATTTGTTGTTGACTGTAAAATTTCTATGGGTGAGAATTACATGGTTGAGTTTGATAATGATTTTGGGGCGAGTTAACATTTTCCACAAAATAATCACTCCATTTCTGACCTCTCCTCATCCTCAAAGGAAACACTCACTGCACTTTCAAAAGACAAGCTTGAGAAATTAATTAATAACTGCTACATACCAATAATCATGGACTTAAAAAGAGATGGATTATGGCTAATTACAAAAATTTGCAACCTACTAGCACCTCCTTTATCCTATGACTGTAAGGGTGACAACTACCCACTTGAGCTTGAATGATCTCTTGTAAGATGTGTTAACTCCTTAGCTGTTCCATCTTGTACTTAGCTGAAACACTCTGGGGGGAGGGGGTGGTTTGAGACACTTGTAAACTAATGGGAGAGCTTTGTGGTTAATCAACCTCCCTAAGAAGCAGTAGTTAGGTTAATGGGAGTAGCTTTCCTGTGGACATAGCTCAGTCTACATGGTGGGTTAAGTTGTTATAACTATGTGGCTCAGGAAAGGGATTCTTCACACCTCTGAGTAATGTAGTTTATACTGATACCGGTCTGTAGTGTAGACTTGGCCTAAGTGCCTTTCCCAGACTTGAAGAAGAGCCCTGTGTAAACTCAAAATCTTGTATCTTTGTTCCTTTATTTTAGGAACATATACTGTACGTAGTACATGTCGAACAAATTTTGTTAAGTTTTGTGCCCCAAAGCAGTAAGGTACCTAAACACACATGTAACTTGAAGCATAGAAATAGTTCTGTTTTGATGTGAAGGAGACTATACAAGCACATACTTAATTTTAAGCATTTGCTTGAGTACTGTACTGATCTGAGATCCAAGTTACCAAAACAATTTCATTCTGGACTTATAGTATCACTTAACATTAAATAGATATCTTCTCCACCTGAAAAGTAACTAATGGGCAGAAAACAAAAGCTTACTATTTCTTAATTTTATTCCACTTGGGAGAAAAAAAAATCTCCACAAAGTTCAAAGCCAGTTTAAGGGATTTTAGCAAATGGGACACCTAGACGTAAGAGGGGGAACAGTATGAAGCCTCTCTCTTCTGTGATTTAAGGACCTACATAATTAAAACTAGATATAAATATTGAATTTGCACTTCAGATAAATACTAACTGGGCCTCTCAATTGAGCTTTTTTTTTAAATTAAGGGAACAGTTATATATAATCCTGTTTAATAGTCTTTGAGCCTGTTCTTGTGGCCCTCTACTCACATGAGAAAGGGTAGCAGGATTGGGGGTATCTTTGAAAGCACTTTGGAACTGCACTATCCTATGCATGGTAATGCAATCCCATGTATATAAAAGTTATTTTCAAGTCATGAATATTTCCTGAGTGGAAAATAATGTCAGTATAAAAATATAATAATATGAACAGAAATGTCCAGTAATGTTACAATGCATGGGATCTTTCAATGCAGTGTGCTTTTGACTAATAAATATAACGGCTTCCTCATGCTATCACCGTAACACTATACCAGGAACTCCAAAATATAAAATGCAATATTCACATGATTAAAATACTTTAAAATGCAATTACACCCCATAGTGGTAACTAAGGTAGTCCAAAACTGCTGAGGTGCTTGATAAAACATTAAAAACCTTTTTTTCCTGTTTTGAAGTTATCCGTTCCATCATGTACATTAAATGATGATGAAAGCACGTAAAAGGAGTCCCATGTTCCAGAGCAATGTCAACCCAGTCCTGGATGCACTTCAAAGGTGTCTCTTCATATCCTGCAAACATGGCTGGATTGGCTAAAAGCCCTCTAGCAACCATTACACCTTCAAATGGAAAATTTGAGAAGCATTAATACACAATTCAACTTTTAACTTTTTCTGTGTACCTGAGGGTTTTGTACAACACCCATCACCACACTATCTAACACTTGTGAACTGCTAACTAGAGAGCAGTAGAAGCTGGAAAGCTAATATGGTAAATGCATCCTGATAAACTCTATTTTACAGTCCAAATCCAAGATAATTCACGATATTTAGTGGTTCAGCATAACCACCTTAATGGCATTTCATAAGAGAGGATTTGAAATAAAACACAGCATATAGAGAATGGAAACTTTTCTTTCCTAGTTCTTTGAACAGCCACAACCAGTCCTCCAGTAATATTTTGTTTTTATTAGCTAAACACAGGATGATCATGTGGGTTTTTTTTAAGCAAAATTTATTATTGATCGACACACAGCAAGGAAACAATTCATTCTTTGTATAAGTTAAATGACTTGGACTTGTTGGAGAGGTCCCAGCTGGAGAAGTATATCTAGATCTGGGTACTACACTTTAGGAAAGCTCTGGATCAACTGGAGAGTCCAGTGAACAACAAAAATGATACAAAGTTTAGAAAACCTGGCTTATGAGGAAAGACAACTGGGCATGTTTAGTTTTGACAAGAGCAGATTAAGGGGGGAACCTGATAAACTGCAAATTTGTTAAGGGATGTTATGAAGAGGACAGAAATCAATTGTCTTCTGATTTCACTGAAGGCAAGACAAGAAGTAACAGGGTTAATCTGCAGGAAGGGAGGTTTAGGAGAAATTTTCTAACTACAAGGGCAGTTAAGTATGGGAATAGGCTTCCAAAGGAGATTGTGGAATCCTCATGGCTAAAGGTTTATAAGAATAAATGAGACAAACACCAGCCAGGGATGGTTTATATTTATTTGGTTCTGCTGGGCGGAGGGGGAGGGGAAGGGAGAGCAAGGGGCTTGATGACTTAACTGACTATCTTCGGTTTTATCAAGTATCTGGGTGGATATTACTCCAGGCCAATTAGGGCCTGGAAGCGGGGGTGCGCGCGAAGCCTCCTCCCACCCTGCTATGAAGCGCAGCATGCTGCTCACAGGGAAGAGGGGGGGCAGAGCGGAAATATATCAGCCTCGACCCTTCTGCTTGATGCCCCGTCCGTTCCTGTGCGGCCCCGGGCCACTTCAAAAACTTTCGAAGTGGCCCCCAGCAAAAAATGATTGCTCACTCCTGCCTTGCAGGAACAAATGGAACTGAGTTCTTACCATCTGCCTCTGTCATATGATGAATGTTCTCTGCCTCTTTTAAAGTTTTAATATCTCCATTAGCTACAATAGGTATAGACATATTTTGTTTAATTATTTTAATTGCATCATAGTGTACTGGCTGATGTCGTTCTTCCACATTCCTCCCATGAACTGTGATCCAGGAAACTCCAGTTGCTTCAGCTTTTCGACAGAGATCCACAGTTCTCTTTAGATCATCGTGGATCCTAAAATTCCAAGGAATGTAAAAATTTCAATCACCATCCAACAGTTATCAGAACAGCAAGAAATCCCATGACATGGTGGAATTAACAAAAATTGTATAAATGAAGAAAGAACATTATTGTTGGATGGTGAATAGCTTTTTTTTTTATCATGTGACACATTATTTTAATAAATTAGTATTTTTGATGTAGTATTGCCCTGTTTAATCAGGTCACTAAAAGTGAATGGTGTCGTCTAAACATTATAATATTTGCCAGGAATCCATGAGGATTTGTCCTAAAAATATATGATTTTGTATAACTTTCTACCAAAAATTAAATATCTTTCACATTTATATAGCACCTTTCTCATTGAAAGCTGCCAAACAACTTTAGATCCTCATTAACTGAAACTCTGCTGATATAGAAAACCGATACAGGAATCACATCATCCACCACTGAAATGCCATATGACAATTGTTGTTGTGTAGTGTTGTACAACTCACAATAGTTTCAAAGTAAATGAGGTGAAGGATATCTTTTTCCAGCTGAAACTGTAGTGGGAATTTAGGTAGGCAGAATGAATGACTCAAGTTGATATCTGGTAAGGAATATAATCAGATCTTTAAACAATCATGATTGGTCAGGATCTATATTTAATGCCTTATCTAAAAGGCAGGTTCTTCAGCTAGACAATGCCATCAATATGATACTAAATCTAGTTCTAAACTGACAGGAGGAAGAATAATTCCTACTTACCAACATTATTTCCTGTTCCCCTCTATGATCCTCTGAGAGCTCCCATCCAAGTGATAACTTGACCCAAGCTTGTTTAGCTTGGTTCAAAGCACAAGTTGATATGGTTGTATAAACAATACAAATCTATTCAACTAGCTTGTGATCTTTCCTGAATTCTGAGTTTTTAAAAAAACATACACTTTTTATGTTGCTTTGGATATCAAAATGTTGCTACAAACAAAGCACACTTGGGGTTGTGTAGCAGCAAAGAAACACTGACCGCAACTGCATAGGATTACATGTCCTCAAGTGTACTTTGGGTAAGAAAACAGATCCTGACTAGCCGGGGTTGTTAAAGATTTCAAGATTGCCCTACAAAGGAGAGCAAGTCTCCACAGATCATGATTAAGGTACCTTTTTATATAAAGGTAAAATTTACCCAACATATTTCATGTTTGCTTGATTAAATAATAAATATGGTTCATTATTTTGAGAAATAGTAGTGATCTAAACTTACCTGATCTTAATAGATACTGAAAATCTTGGATTCTCTACTTGATTTCTTACATGTCTCACCATATCTTGAACCAGCTCTGGTTTATTTATTAAACAAGCACCATAACCTTCTGCCATTGCCCATCTTTAAGTTAAAGAGAACAGAGATTATAATGTAATTTTTTTTCCAAAAAAATTAAGTCAGTTTCAAGCTAATGCACCATTTCAGTTTCCTTCTAGACACATTTGGTGAATTATTTTGTTGACAGGGAAGAAGGCAGAGATTGTACTGGCTATGGGTAAAAGATGTTCTTGAGGTTAGGGCTCAGGATCTTGGGAGATGTAGCTTCATTTCCGGGTTCTGCCACAGATTTCCTATGTGACTTTGGACAAGTAATTTAATGTCTCTCCAGGTCAGTTTCCAATCTGCTAAATGATAACATTTCCCAGCTTATCTCTTTGCCCCCCAAAAGGCAAAATCTTGGATTCTCCACTTGATTTCTTACATGTCTCGCCATATCTTGAACCAGCTCTAGTTTATTTTTTAAACAAGCACCATAACCTTCAGCTGAAATAGCTTATTTTGAAATTGGGAGCATCTATACAGCATTTACTTCGAAATAGAGCACTCTTCCTCCAACTTCCCTTACTCCTCGTACAATGAGGGTTACAGGAGTTGGAATAAGAAGTCCTCCAGATTGACAGTATTTCAACATTATTTTGAAATAACTGCCAGCTGTGTAGAGGTGGACTAAGTTATTTCAAAATAATGTTGCTGTGCAGATGTACCCTAAAATACTTCCAATATCACTTAATAGGTCTCACTTGGACCAGTTAATACATGTTTTAACATGTTCATTTATTGTATGAATATTTCTAGTCTGAATTGGGTCATGACACACAAGATAAAATATGGAAAGTATTATGTCAGGTTGGGGCAGATCACTGATCTCAGTGACAAACTTTTATCACCTAATCAAAGATGCAAGTAGCTCTTTTAAACATTGATTGAACGTTAACAAAAAAAATCACATAACTTAATACAAAACAGAAGAATTATTTCAAAGGATATTTTTACATGTTTCTCAGACACCTGCATCAACATTTTAAGGGTAACCACAAAGTTTCCCTCAATATACTTCTTAAGTAATTTGCAATGAAGTTCTTATTCCTTGTCTGCAAAGTCAGTGTGCAGCATTTTTAATGCCACTGTTAATGCCTCTTCAACAATTGTCCAACCAAGGTTGCCAGTTCCCTATTAAGTCAACACACAACATCATAGACACAAAGAATGGCATACTGATTATATGCCTGTACTCTGCTGTCTCACCAATTCAGAAGGTGCCCTAACATAGTTCTCTTTATGCTTTCTCAGGAAGACAAATCACCATTTCTATATTTAAGAACAGTCATTAAGCTACCACTATTTGGATTTGGAAAACTAGGAAGTAATTTTTCATTTTCAAACTGATTATTCCTAATTCTTTCAGTACTTCTTCCACCTTCTTAAAATGTTACCTCTGAGGACAGCCACAATTTAGGTCTATTCCTTCAGCAAAAGGACAGACGATACGGGCAGCATCAGATAAAACCTGTGCTTCTTTAGCAGCAAACTGAACAATCAATGGCCGATCACCTAGTCAAAGAGAAAGTGCTATTTAGAATATATCAGAACAACAATACATACCACATACTTTAAGAATTAGTAAGGATGTGTTTTGTGAGTCAACATAATCAGGTCTTTAATATAATCAATATAACAACAGATTAAAAATGTGTAATCAAATAATTCTACAATTATGAATGCTTTGATATGTGTTCATTTTTTAATTGTATCCTTTGGTATATATGGTTGTGACTATTTTCTTCCACTATTTGATCTGAGGAAGTGGGTCTGGCCCACGAAAGCTCATCATCTAATAAACCATCTTGTTAGTCTTTAAAGTGCTACATTGTCCTGCATTTTGTTCTTCCTAGATAAAGTTCATCAGCTGTAGATCTTCCTTTCCTGTATAACTGAAAATAAATTTGAAATAGCAACAATATTGTCAATGTGTGTTGCTGCAAGAAAATAACCTTTTTTGCAGAAGCATATTTCTAGAATTCCATTCTTTTTTACAGAATAAAAAATAGTCTCCAATGACAGAAAGAGAGACAAGTTAAAAAAAAAATCTATGCAGACTCCATTTCTTATTTTCCCTTATACTTGGATGTTCTGTTCCATAAACTATAAGGAAGCCCTAGAAACATACAGAATATGGTTCTCATAATGGTGACATTTTAATAACTAATTAAGAAGTAAATTATAGTCAAGTTTTAAATAAATTTTTAAAATAAGAAAATTGAAAGGTTGTAGTCAATAAAAACTAACGTTAGAAAGTATAGAAATAGTAAAGGTTCTAGCACCAATCTTAATCATCCTCCTTTACCCATATCTAAATTTTTAAAACACATGTCACAGACCCTCAGAAGCCCAAAGAAAATGTTAAATATGGAATTATAAACGGCAAACCTAATCCTCTAATTAATGGCTGGAGACCAAACTCTCCACTGCTTTCATGGTACAAGCCACAGACCAGATCTCACAGATGGTGCAGTCTTTGGGGCAGATCTTCAGCCTGTGTAAACTTTCACTGACTCAATGAAACTGTTATAATTTACACCAGTTGAGATCTGCTCCTTGATTTTACAAAGGCATCAGAGGACATCTGAAACCTCCAAAAAAGCTGGCATAGAAGAGTCAGTCATGTGCTAAAGTTTTTGAGGAGTTTTTAAAAATATAACAAAAATGAATCTTTGAATATAAGGTCCTATGGAACTTTTATGTTCTGCAGGAAGAGAACTACCTGCAGAACTACCTTTGCCATTGTACTTACAAATTCAGAAGTACTGAGGTTTGATGGTCTTCATGTCTGCAAGGCTTAATACCTCAGCAGTTGTGGTGCTAAACACTGGTCTACACAGGGCACTTTCATATATATAAAAAATTCACACCATGAGAGATGTAGGTATTCTGTCTTATCCCTAGTGCAGACAATGGTAGGTTGACAGAATTCCTCCATCTAGCTGCCACCTCTCAAGGGCTATGTCTAGATTGCATCCCTTTTTCGGTATGGAGCTTTGCTGGAAAAAAGCGCCAGTCTAGACACGGATCTTTCGGAAAATAAAGACTTTTCTGAAAGATCCTTTATCCCTCTTAAAATAAGGGATAAGGGATCTTTCGGAAAAGGCTTTATTTTCCGAAAGATCCACATCTAAACTGGCGCTTTTTTATGGCAAAGCTCCATGCTGAAAAAAAGCGGCAGCCATTTTTATGCTAATGAAGTGGGGGAGATTTAAATCCCTGCTTCATTAGCAATTGCGATATGTCTAATTTGCATCCCTTTTACGAAAAAGGGATGCAATCTAGACGTAGCCTCAGAGTGCCATGAATCTTCTGATTTGTGCTCTGTCCCCACTCCTCTCCCTTCCTCCCAGAACCAGAAAGCCACATATCAGTAGGAAGTGGGGGGCTCCAGTGACCCCGTGCGTGAGAAGCATGGGGGAAAGGAAAAAAGAGGGGTTGCAGAGACCACAGTTGGAACCCCTGTGGGCAATGGGCTACAGGTTGCCCACCACTGTGGCCCACTGAGATGGCCCACTCACTAGTCTTGGTTGCCTATCACTGATTGCCCACATAGCTGTGAAAATGTAGTGTTGCAAGTGTTGACAAGCCATCTGAACTCTAGGAACATATAATGAACCTTCATTTAACAACATGCCACTGAGTTGTGTTACACCTTGCTTCGCTTCGTCAACAAGATTATAGACTTTAAGACCAGAAAGGTCTGTCATGATCATAGTATGAACTCCTGCATATAGCATGTCATAGAAACTCCACTCCTGTGTTAGACCCATAACCTCTGACTGAATTATTGAAGCTCTCAAATTATGATTTAAAGATTTCAAGTTACAGAGAATCCACCATCTAAGATCAATTATTGTATAAAATTATCTGAAAAAGCAAGAACATATAAAATAAATACCTTTGCTCGTTGTGAATTCACTGTCTCTAGCTTTCACAGATCTGACAAAATCAGCAGCAATTATCATAGGTGTATAACACAAATCACAGTTGTATTTCCTGACCAAAGTTCTGAAAGCCAACCTGGGAGTACATGAATATTTGAATAGAAAACAACTGAACCCCAAAATAAACTATTTTAAAAATAAATAATTAAAATACTTTTAGCATGACAGCATGTAATACAGTAGGGCTATGTCTACACTCGTGGTTTCTTGCGCAAGTAATATGCAAATAAGGCTAAGCGTGGAATATCGCCGAGCCTCATTTGCATACCTAATGAGCCACCATTTTTTTCAGAAGAGGCTCTTGTGCAAGAAGGAGCATCTACACTGCCCCTTCTTGCGCAAGAAAAACCCTCTTGTGCAATGCAATTACACCTATTACTTTTCAGGAAGAACGGCACTGCGCAAGAGGGGTTTTCTTGTTCAAGAAGGGGCAGTATAGATGCTACTTCTTGCGCAAGAGTCTCTTCTGAAAAAAATGGTGGCTCATTAGGTATGCAAATGAGGCTCGGCGATATTCCACACCTAGCCTCATTTGCATATTACTCGCGCAAGAAGCCGTGAGTGTAGACATAGCCTAGGAGTGTTTAGGCATTACCACACTATAAACAAATAAACATGCATGTTTTGAAGTATATGTTTTCTGTTAAAAAGTAATTAGTCTTATTTTTGTTAAGGACTAGTCAACTATCCGATAAGCAAAGGCTTATCAGATAGTCAGTCAACTAGTTGATTCTGTCCCCCCTTGCTGCTTCTATCAGACAGAGACAACAAAGAGGGTGGGGGGAAGAGGTACTTCAAAGCAGCAGTGCTGCACAGCTGATCAACCCCAAGGCAGCATTTCAAAGGGGCAGCTGCCGCACAGTTGATGCGTGGCTCAGTGGTGCGGCACTGCCCCTTTAAAATGCTGAAGTGCCGTGGAGCCTGGGGTCAGCTGAGGAGCCACTTGGCATTTCCCCAGAACTGAGGTCAGCTAGGGAGTCCCCCGCTGACCCTGGGCTCTATGATTTTGAAATGCACAAGAGCCCTCCCTGAGGACTCTTGTACATTTCAAAGCAGGCACGCACGCATCCAGCCTTCCCGCTGGCCCTGGGCTGCATGTGGAGTTCCGCATTCCTCCTTTGAAATGTGCAAAAGCCCCACCGGGGGCTCTTGTACATTTCAAAGGAGGAATGTGTAAGTGCCTATCGACTAGTTTATGGAAATTCCATCAACTACTCGATTAGTCAGTTAACCGCAATTTAACATCCATAATTTTTATACTTAACATTCATTTACATGTAGACTGCATTGAAAGTATATAGTTAAACACGATGTGTTACTTACTTTGAATATCGGACCATAGGGGCACATATTTTTACAAACTGCCCAGAATGAAATAAATCCATTGGATCCTTTTGTTGGCATTGCGTGGTTTCTATGTCGTCACTTATCATGTATGAGTTTCAATACTTTTAAAAAGCTGGAAAAATATTTTTAAACAGAAATTTTGCTATTTATTCTCAATTCTCATAACACCAATGGGTAATTGTGCCAAATTACCTAAAAAAAGTTGAATAGAATTTACACTAACATCACAAAAAGAATGAGGGTAGTTGTTCTCCCATGAAGATTGGGGGCTATGACACACTGAGAAGTTTGGTATTCTCAGTTCTTGGAAGCATTTTATGGATTATATCATGTCTGTTTTAAATCTATCCTTAATATGTGTCTTAATGTATTGCAACACAAAGCAATACATCAACAAATATATTTTTGTTACATTTGTGCACAGCAGGACTAAAATAGAAATGGGTACTCGACTCTCAGTTAACTATTGCACAGACTCAACTAATACTAGAACTGGAAGGGACCTCCAGAGGTCACCAAGTCCAATCACCTGTCCTCATGGCAGGATGGAGCACCATCTAGATCTCCTAGAAATACTTGGCAACATTTGGATTGTCACAGAGCTGGAGAGAGATATTTATTATACATGGGATTGACCAATTTTAGCTCTTAATAGCTAAAAAATCCAGTGCCCCAAATGCAACGGAAGCACCAAGTCATGTTCAGTGACAGGAGAAAGAGACTGGGAATGGGAAGAAAAAGAGGGTGGAGAAGGAGCAAAAAAGGAATAAGACAGTAAAAAGGGAGGGGGAAGGTAGAGCAGGACGAGGACAGGGTTGCACGGTGCAGAGCCGGTTACGACAGCTCCCTTCTTCCCAGCACCCGGAATTACTCCCTTCCCGTTACCCGCATCGCATCGCATCGCATCCCACCCCACCCCGGCCCCTCATCCGCATCCTCCTGTGCCCGCCCCGCCCCGCCCCTCGTAGCATCAATTTCCACTTCACCCGCGGCGGGAAGCAGACAGAACACGCCAGGCCAGGGCAACCTTTCCCCTTTGACCCTTCACCCCTCCCACGGCTCCACCCCTGCCAACCAGAAACCACGGAGGCGCGGAATTTTTGCGTCCAAGTTAGCCGGTCGCTTGTGGATGACGTAAGGTGCTCCGGTAACCGCCAGCATGGAAGAAGCGGGCGGTGGTATCTCTGCCCTGGCACCGGCTCTTGGGGAGCTGCTAGGGGATGGTGAGGAGGGCCAGGCGCGGGGTCCTGAGGGCGGTGGCGAAGCTGGGGCCCTGGGTGGCAGAGGGCTCTGAGGTGAAGCGAGGGCACCGGGCGGTAGGGCTTTGCCGGCCACACGGGGTTGGGCAGCAGAGGTGCCCTGTGGGGGGACGGGTACCAGGCTAGAGCTGCGCGCTGCGTCGGTTTGCCAGCCGGACTGGGGAGCGGAAGAGCTGGAGGCTGCGGAGGATTTTGCGCTAGTGGCAGGGTATCCCTGCCACACCCGCCTCTGCTTGGTGGCTGTCCTGCTGCTCCTGCAGGTGCCCATGCACCGCGCTCACTGTCTGACCTGCGGCTGACGGGAAAGAGGGGTGACTGCTCTTGCTGAGAGTCTTTTTAGTCCCTGTGCGTCAGGTTTATTGTGGCCTCAGAAGAAGTGTTTAGGGATTGTTTCGTGGCTGGTTGCCCTTACGCAGCAGGATCTTTTGTTTATATTTTGTGAAGGGCGGGAGGAGACACCTTCTTACTGAATGTCCTGATAGTCCCTTTAGGCAAAACTTACAGGCGCAGGAGTTTCCAGGTTGCTACTCTGTTCTCTAATCACATCTTCTCTCTAAGAAGGAAGACCATGTGTTTAAACTGTGTTCCTGTTTGTACCTTTTTTGTTAAGTGGATTGACTGCATGTTGGAATTGTGGTTTTCTCTTTAAAAAGCTCCTCTTTAACTTTTATCATAATTGGGCTGGAATAAACTAAAAGAGCTAGGAGATGTAATAAATCATTGCAACAATTGTTAACATTTAGAGATTCTGGTTTAGTTCTGAGGTGGATCACAAATACAATTTATTGGTTTTAATCTAGTTCCATAGAAATTACAAGATCATGTTATGATGTAATGGAGTGAGTTGCAGTTGTCAGTTTTCTGGTTGAGATTCTCAGTAGTTTTACTCTGGGTAAAATTTTGTCTAATTTTGCTTACAAAATTCTGAAGAGGAAATCAGAAATATAGTTTTAGTGTGTATGGCATTCTTGAAAAGGTGGTTTTATCCAGTTTTGGATTTAGGTGACAGGACATGGGCAATAAAAATGATGTAGTTAAGCATGCCTTTTTTACATTAGTTATTTTAGCCAATGGTTGCTCATTAAATCAATGTCCAGTTATATTGTAGAAACCAGAACACAGCTGCTAACAGCATGGGGGGTGAGGGTGGGAGGAGATAGGTCGGATGTACCTGTAATTCTTAACATCATTACATATGTATTTAACTTCTTGTAGTATGAAAAAAAGCTTAAAAATATTTTTCAGAATCTTATGCAGATTTTTTAAGAGAAGACTTTGATGTAAAGACTTATACTTCCCAATCTATTCATCAAGCTGTGATAGCTGAACAGTTAGCAAAACTTGCTCAAGGAATCAGTCAGTTGGATAAAGAGCTTCATTTACAAGTAAGTGCCAAGTGTGTCATTTGTTTCAGGGCTGTCATGTACAAACATACTTTACAAATTCAGTATTTTAGTCTTGTTTGTTCCTAAAGTTATCCCATAGTTTCAACAATTAGTGACTAAGGGTATATCTATGCCGCCCACAACACTGAGCCTCCTATCCCAGGTTGACAGACTTGGGCTTGCACTAGTGCTCTACAAATAGCTTTGTAGGCAGCACTTTGAAATTGTCATTGCACCTTGGACTCTGAAGCCTGGCAATTTCAAAGCATTGTCTACACTACATTTTTAGAGCACTAACATTAACCTGAGGTAGGAAGCTCATTGGCACAGGCTAGGCATACCTTGTATGTATGTGTCTTTCAACAATATTAATCACAGTGCTTTAAACCATCTTGTTAGTCTTTAAAATGCTACATTGTCCTGCATTTTGCTTCAGCTACCCCAGACTAACACGGCTACATTTCTATCACTATTCTGCTTTTATGATACACGTTCTCCTCTCTTCCATTTGGAATAGGGATGTAAGTGACTAGTGGACTATCCGATAAGCATAAGCTCTGCTTGTGCTGCTTCTGCTGCGATTCTGCTTTTGAAATGTACAAGAGCCCCACTGGTTCAGAGGCTCAGGCGCTGCAGGGAGTTTGGGACCAGTCCCTTGTTGGCCCCGCGCTCCCTGCAGTCCTTCCACTTTTAAACTGTAGCAAGAGTCCAGCAGCTCCAGCGGGCACAGTTGGGGAAGATGTGCATGTCCCCCAGGTGGGGCAGGTCCAGGTTCCTCTGCCCCTGTGCTCCCTGCCAAAGTGAGGAATGCAGCAATCTGTGCACATTTCCTTCACTCCATGATGAAGGGGAACAGCCAGCAACATTCCCTTACAAATTGGGGGGAGAACTTCAACAATCCCCCCACCCCCCTGGTCTCCTTGAAGGGGTATTTGGGGGGCTCAGGGCTGAGACAGTCCAGAAAGGGGTGATGCCCCTTTCACCTTTCTGGTGGTTCTGTCTCTTTTCTGTATGGTTTTATGAGAAGCAATCCCACTCCAGGCACACCCCATTTTCTTGGCACAACCAAACCTATACTGGGTATATTAAAATGCATTTAATTAAGTAAAAGTGTTACCGCTGAAAATTTCAAAGCAGTAACATAGTTACATGCAGGTGGTTCCCTGGGAGCTGGTGTGTGCGGGGAGCCGGCTTTTAAGCTAGCTCCCCACGTGTACCAGAAGCCTGTGTGTAACCATGTATGTGGTTACACTTTCATATCCCTAACCCATTCCTTGCCTTAAGTCATGATAAGCGGAAGCTGTATACCGAATTTAGTGGTCCTAGCTCTTACTGTTTGAAAAGAATTCTTGAACAGACAAGACAAACTCTCTCAGATATATATATATATAGTAGATGGGGAATATTTTATGGGATGTTATGGCACTGTAGGCTAGTTAAGCACTTCTCCCTTCTAGAGATTGTATAAACATTTTTATTTATGTCTCAATTGTATAAGAAACTTTGATTTTTCTCAGTTTATCCCTTATATAAACAGTTGCCTTTATCTCGTATTCTGACACAACTGACATTCTGAGTTGAGAGCAGCAATGGGATCCAAGAGTAGTGAGTGGACTGCCTGAGTGTCTCTTCTTCGTCTCAATAGGCCACAGTGGTGGGCAAAAGGGGTTTCGCATCCACAAGGGTTCTGACTGCAGCCTGTTCTCCCCTCCTCCACCCTCCCTGTCACTTTCCCTCATACCCAAGTGCATAGAAAGTGGCCCCACACTTCCTATTGATTTGTGGAATTCCAGCTCTGGGACAGAGGAAGAGGAATCAGGATGGAGTGCTCATCAGTGGATTCATAGTGCTCCGAAAATCCTGGAAGTGAGGAGGAGGAATAGGAAGTGCAGGACTCCAGTGCATGAGAGGCATGTCAGGGAGGATAGTAGAGTAGGGGGTGCATGGGCCACAAGTGGGACTGCAGTGGGCCACATGGGGCTCATGGGCGGCAGGTTGCCCACCTCTGGTTTAGGGAAATCCAGGATTTTGTTAAATATATGAAGAAGGTAAAGACTGAGATTAATCACTGGATGGTAGGTAAATTTAAAACATCATCTGCTGTAATCTGTCTGGCTAGACCAGGTACTGAACATTAGTGCAGAAAAATTAACTGGATAAATAAAAAACTATCAGTTTAGTGTTGACTATGAAAAGTCTGATCAGATCCTTTTAAAAAGTATTATGGACACACATGAGTTTATAAATTAGAGGGGTTTGACTGTAAAGCAGGTGGGAAAAATAAAGGGATTCTTATCACTCAGAAGGGATTCTTCCTACTTCTAAGATCCTCTTTTTCTTTTTTTTTTTTTCTCCACTCGCGGATACATGCTTAAATAAAATCTGAGTTTGTATTTTTGGAATTAGCCTCGCAAATAATGATTTGGTGGTCTCACTTTTCAGGTGGTTGCTAGACATGAAGACTTACTGGCACAGGCAACTGGGATTGAATCTCTAGAAGGTATAAATTCATTTTATGCTCATTCATTTTAGTATAAGGTGATTGTTAATAGTTTCATAGTTTAGATGGCATCAGGCTGTTAAGTGGTAATGTTATTGGACAGAAGTCGTACTTGAAAACTGCTGTGTGGTGTTAATGTCTGCAGGTGGAGCTGTAAGGAGAGTATTTATTCAATTCTTTGACATAATTACACTATAGCATGGCTTAGCAACCTTTTCAAACCAAAGAGCAAAACTACATCAAAATTCAGAACAAGGGTCAACAAAGTGTCTGTATAAGAATGCCTGTTTGCATAACTGAAAACATACAACTTAATATTATTAATTGACATGTTGATTGATAGCATAAATGAAACATTGTACTCACAGATTTTATTTAATGGGACTTCTGCTGCTGTTGGGGTACAGTTTGTGGATGTGAGGGTGCAGGAGTCAGGATTGGGGGTATATGAGAGGCTCAGGGCAGGGTGTTGGGGTGTGTGGGAGGTGCAGGAGGCTGGGCAGGGGATTGGGGGTGGAGGAGGGGCTGAGGCCGGATGACTTTACCTTCCTGGGGTTGGGCTTCTGCATCCGGGCAGCAGTGGCTAGAAGAGGGGCCAGGCCAGGATTGCCACAGCCAGATTCTGGCCTCCCCTCCTTCCCATGTCACAGCAAGGGGAGAGGGGTTGAGGTCAGTGCCATCAGCTCTTTCTGCAGCCAGATGAGTACTTGCTCCAGGATCAGGGCCGGAGACAGGATGCTGCTGCTGATGGGACTGGGCTCCGATTAA